AGCACAGGGCATAAAGGTAGTTAGGTAAATACTAAGTGGATCACGGGGTAAGACACAGCCTTGTTTCACACCATAGACAATATTAAAATTTACTCGGGCAACAAAATGTAGCAAATATCAGACACAGTGCCTCGCACTTCACCGAGTTAGACGCCATGTTGACGTCTGCAAATGATGAGTAAAATGGCTGGTGTCGCTTACGGAATTTCTTTTGCAACTGACGAGCCGCGAACAGCACATATATCGCGCTGCGGAACGAAACCGAATCCGTATTACTCTTCAGCCAAACTTGGCTAAACGATTTGAGTCACATAGCGTTTGAGGGGGATCCATGCGATCACATGTCAAACACAATTTAGCAAATTGATGCCACGAGAAGTCGTGCGGCATTGTTGGCTCCCTTTGCCTTTGTACAGAGACAGCACAAGGGCATCCTTCAAGTCAGCCGACACCTCTTCTTCAGACCACATGCGTTGCATCAAGTGGTGCAGCGCATGCATTAACGCAGGTACGTTGTGTTTAAACACTTTTGGCAGTAGCCCGTCAGACTTGGCGCAGTTGCCGTATTGCAGCTGAACAAGTGCCTTCTGAGTTTCAACCACCGTCGGTGTGTCGGCGAGAAACATCTTCATCTATTGTTGTTGCAGCCCGTGCAACATATCCCAGCAAATCTGTAAGTGGTTGTTCAATAGACAGTCAAAGTGGTTTCGCCTTATCTGCATTATGTCTGCAGTCTGTGTGCAGGTGGTAGCATCAAGCAGCGTCCTCACCTGGCCGCTTATAGTTTGCACGCCCGATGGTTTCCTCGGCAGCAATCGTCACCTGCTCCCGTATGTGGGGCCACAGATCGCCGACTGATGTCAAGTAGTGGACATCGCCAAGGCTGGTAGCCATCGCTCACTCCATTTACATCCTGTTCGCAATAGTACCTAGGGAAAGGACATTGAGTTTACACCGATTCAAGACAGGTGAGCAATACATAGATGTACGAAAATAAATGCATAAATTTGGTCTGCGCAAACTTGGGACAAGCGCCACACTCAGCTCCACGTAGTACACGTGTCATGCGCATGTCACGTCGACGTACGATGACACAGTCGAGCAGGTAAACGTGATCACTCAGTTGGTACGTCCAAATTGCTACATCACGCGCACTCAATGCAAACCGAGTACTCGTGATCATCCGGCTGAGTAGCACACAGTGAGAGCAGCCTGACACCGTTCGCATTCGTTGGACCTATGCCATGCGTACCGATGACATCTGTCCACACCGATGCATCACGTCTAACGAGCGCGCTGAAATCGCCCAATAAGATGAGCCAGTCGCTCCTCGGCGCCGAATGTATCACGGAAGAGAGGTGAGCGTAAATCGTAGCAATCGGGTCAACCTTATAAGACGTAGTGGGACCGTACGTGCTGATCAAAGTACCACAAGTACCTTTTCTAAGTCGAAAGCGAACAGTCATTATCATGGGCAGAAGCCAGTCGACTCTTTTATCAGGTGTTCATTCAGGTGGTCGCATGGTACAAATCAGACTCCATGTTCACGTGGTGCTTTGGTGGCGTTTCCCACCCAGTAGAACTGTACCCAGCACTAGCCCCATGCAGCTTGCTTGGTCATGAAGTCGAATTTCACTGAGTGCGGCAATATCAATCCCGTAGCGCGCGAGTCCCATCGCGACCAGTGCAACGCGTCGCCCGATTTCCGGTTGAGTAAAGCGAGCACTTTGCAGCGTCCAATGTTGGACGCTTTACGTAGAGGTATACGATTGCTTTGGGTAGTCGTACGGATGGTGAGCTGGCGTGGAGGAATTAGTGGGTTCGTTGAAATGGGGACTGGAAAAGATGTAGTGCGAAAGAACGGAGACGTCAGCGGTAACATGTTTACGCTTAACCACCTCGTTGTATGCAGCAGATAAGGCGATCCTTTTCTTGATGCCTCTGCGTGAGGGCTGATGTAGTATTAGATCATCTATAGTTGTGTCTCAGTTTTGGTTTCGGGACCGAGGTGCTGCCAGTGTGTCCACAACTGAACAGGATAAATACTCGGGTCCACAGCCAAAGAACTCGATAGAATGTACACCCGAAATGCGGCAAAAAATGCGTCATGAGTTGATCGACTTACGGAGATGCATGCATCCTGTCTCTTAGAAGGGTGTAAGCCAGGCTGGAAGGTGAGGCGGACCACCGGCACCAAGTCTTGTAATCAGTAACTTCATTTCGGGCTGCAAAGTCGACTGTTGCTTACCTTGAGTCATGCGCCACCGTACATTTGGCAGACAAAACAAGGTATTCCTCGGTAAACGTTGACGAGACATATGTAGTACGTGCCAAAGCCAATATAAGTTATTCAGTGGCAACTGTTGTTTTACCACTGCCTAGCACTACCCTGGCACATCATCGTTGCGGACATGTTGATGCCACGACACCAGCAATGCTTCACAGACAGCGATGATCTATGACCGGAAGACACCACAGATTCTCAGGTCGAGGGGGCCAAGTGTAACTCCCATAGAGTAGGACAGCCTTTCACACTGAGGGAATCTCCTTTCTGACACCACAGATGCAAGGTAGTTCCAGGTTTTCTAACACGTGAATTGAGTTCAGTGCATATGCGCTCACCATTGTTGATTCTGATACTGAATTGATCAATTACATCGAGTTTCTCGCTATAAGGGTCAAGTTCATCAAGTGGATGTTGGTCTTGAAACAACAATCTGCTCTTCGAAGGTGCGAAGCGCATGCCAAATAATGAGATCATTTCAGAAAGGTTATTCAGGGATGATTGGGCCGCCATGACATTGTTAAACATCAGGGCAATATCGTCCGCAAAAAAGACTGCGAAGATGAATGTGATATAGTCATTAACAACAACACCGAGAGAATGAAAATTCTCCGTCGTAAAGCCAATGTCGAAAGGCGGTGACCCAAGTAAAATGGGCATCTACCGGCTGATCTGCCCGACTACTGTCTTGGCTAAGAAAATCAGGAAGTAAGTTATTCTGCAACTTCTAAATTCGAAAAGCTTCTTGACACCTGCACAGTATGGCTTCGTGAAAGGTCGCTCATGCATCACCAATCCGCTGTTGACGAGGCACAAATAGTTGCAAGCATTGAATCAAAAGAAGTCCGTCGAGGTTATTCACCTTGAGTTCAGTAAGGCGTTTGACAAGATGAATCATGAGGTCCTCCTCCACAGATTGCGAGTGTGCGGTGTTGGCGGCTAATAATACCAATGGATTCAGGAGTTTCTTGTTGATCGAAAATGGAAAGTTCAAGTCGACAATCACCTGACCGACTGGTATCGCTCGACCAGCGGCGAGCTTTAATACACTGTGCTAGGGCCCATTTCGTTTTTGATCCATAAAAACGAGGTGCCTCAGCTTCTCCGTTCGCTTTGTGCGTTGGTTGAATAGGACTTGAAGTTATGGAAAGTAACCAGTGCATCCGATGACTGTGACCTACTTCAGCGTGACCTTGATTACCTCTCCCTGTGGTCTGTAGAGGTCAAATTCCCGATAAACCCGGTCAAGTCGCTATTCATGAGTCTGGGTAAGGGTGGACACGGTCGAATGTACACTGTGGCCGGTCAAGCGTTGCATTTTGTGCCTTTCGTGAAAGATCTCAGTGTACTCTCACGCTGCGACTTAAAGTCCGTGGACAACACAAACAGGATTTTGATATATTCATCTTACTCATAATACGATCAAGATTTACCAAAACGGACTTTGTATACTTCGGGCACTCAAGCGCAGCTTCCGCACCTGGTCCAAAGAGATCGCCACTCGCCTCTTCGTCTCAATTATATGACCAATGCTAGGGTACGGCTCAGCCGCAAACTGTCCTACCACCCAGGGAAGGGTACAAAGGATTGAGCGGGTACAGTATGTGGCCACAAGGCTAATCCCCGGTTTACGAGGTGTGACATATAAAGACCGGTGCAAGAGACTAGCGTTGTACACCCAGTCTTATCGTCGAATGCGGGTTGACCTAATCATGACGAACCGGATATTACGTCTGGGTGATTACCCCATGTTGAATCCGCTGCTTCATCTACGTACAAGTTTGTTGTACCAGATCGCTCACCAACTCTGCTTCAAGCAGAGGGTGGTGAATATTTGGAACAACCTGCCTGCATACATAGTCGAAGAAAAGTCGGTGCCGGAATGCAAGAAATTCCCGAAGAAATACATCGCCGCCATGAAATATCGCGAATGCTCTCCAACAGGTCATTGTATCTGAGGGATTTCAAATGCAGCTACACAGAGACGTGTCCTCTTGCTGCTTCCATCCAGAATTCAGTATTTAATGCACATCAGCTGCAGGTGTGTGACACCTCAACTATTGTGCCGTAATACAAACAGATATACGAAAAAGGGAGATAGCAAACAATATAAAACCAAAGACGTAATACGACAATTAGTGTCAAACTACGCATCAGGTGTGACATCGCGGTTAGACGAAAAAGATAAGCGGGAGGGAGACGGATAAAGAAATCACAGCACAAATGCCATTGGGGCCCAGGTAGTTGAATTCATGAACGAGTTCTAGCTGATCACTCCGAAAGTCAGAGAAGGGGTAGGTCTGTGCCAACCTAGGAGAAGTACTTCGTATACCTCGAAGCGCTTGACAGTCGGTACTAATTTACCCAGTTGGGAACGGTCACAGATTAGGACAATGTCGTCGGCATACTCCAAATCAAGATGTCAGTCACCAGGAAGTAGCCCCACACGTTGTAGATCGTGTTCAAACATAACGTAGTGCCGCTGCTGCTTTTACGCTGTCGATTCGTGGTTACTGAACAAGTACCCAAGACTGTGTTTTCCTTATCTCCGGTATTCGTAAAATGGAGCATTTGTGTTCATCTTAAAATTCCACAGAAGCGTTACTAAGAGTTGGTGAAGGTTAAAATGGAAAGAGCTGTTTAGAAGTAGTAAAACGACGTAACATGACCATGAGGACATTGACTACCAAATACAATGAAGAAAGTGAATCAACTTACCAAAGACTACCGTCGATGAGTTTTGACATGTCGGTGTAGGTTTCCTAACTGAGCAAATGCCTTCAAACATTGAGGACACCTATAAGGTTTTTCGCCAGTGTGAGTACGTATGTGAGCCCGTAAGTGATCCTTCTGAGGAAAAGCTTTGGGGCAAAATCGACAGGGGTAGGGTCGTTCTCCTGTATGTGTGCGAATATGAGCTTGTAAGTTATCCTTTCGTTCGCATGATTTCGGACAGAAAGGACATTGATGGCGTCTCCGGTTGGAATTTGAGACAGCTGCACCCGAATTGCAAAGAAACGGGGACCCGGTGTCCCCAGTAGAGCTACCGTATGACGAAGATCGGTATTTACTACCCAGATTTTTGTTCGGCTGTATCGAAGCAGAGCCAGATGCTGAGATCGAGGAGGCGGGCTTCATTGATCGAGAGGAAAGTAGATTATCTGCGGATGGCAACACAGTCCCTTTAGTGCACTCAGATTTCGGAATAACATCCATAATAGGAGTTGCTGCCCCATGGACGTCAACGGCTGCATTACTGAGTGCGTTATCAAGTGAGAGAGGGGAGAAGGTGGGAGGGAATAGAGAGAAGAGGGCAAGTGGATTAGTTGGGGGACCGAGGTCGTTTGTGTCGATCGAATATGTAGATAGTGAGGATGGGCGCAAAGGACACTGATGCAATGGCAAACTACAATTGGAAGCTGTGGGTGGAAGGGCAGAAATTGGAGGTAAGAATGGCTGTTCAGTAACACACTCTGTCTGTGATGCAGACGTGGGCAAGGAAGAGGAAAATATGCTGTGTGTATTTGCTCCCGATAACAATGTAAGGGGGAAGGATAAGACCTGATTAGTTGGTGTTGCGAGGCTGACGTGATGTAAAGCTGTCCCCTGTGTGAGTGAATCGCGGTGAGATCCAGGGTCGACAGAATCGAATCCATGAAAGCCGGGAGTAGTGATAGCCCCAAAACTAACCCCCGCATTGTAGGATGTTGCAAAAGAGGGTGCACCAGTTGATGTAGAACTCGAGCTGCAGGTATGCTGCTCAGTGTTTTCGTAGGTGGAGGAAGATACAATAGGGGCTAACCCTGGCGAGGGAAAGGGTATAAACAAAAGTTTTTGTGGGTCAGTAATTGGCATTTGAGAAGTGGCGGGAGCAAAAAGCAAGGGTGTTCTGGACGGTGGAGTAGAAATGGAGTCGAATATAACGTTCTGCTTGTCAGGATCCGACTTAATTTGTGGTGTGGAAGCAGAGCGAAGGAAGAGAACGTGTGTTGTAAGAGGTATTTGCGAATGGGCCCCCATGGTAGAATTCACTCCGTCGTGCACATTTGCCGAAGCAAGGCTAGTAGCCAATGGAACAGGGGTTGAGGAAATTGGAGGAATAACTGACAAGAAATTTGTCGTAGAGGTGGGCGGCAGTCCCAAATTTTGCTGATATGTCAGAGGTGCCGTCGTTCCACTCAACCGTGAAATAGCTGTACCCGCAAGATTATGGAGGAGAACAACAGCGTTAGTGGCAACAAGGTGTGTGTTGGTGTTTAAGACAATGGAAGCGCTGCTAGTGCTGACAAATCCGTTGTCAGCGCCGCTCTTTAGGTTAAACAGAATTGACATGCCAGGGCGGAGGGCTGGAAGCGAGCTGAGCAATTGAAAAGTGAGGTTCGTTTGTGGTGACGCAATGTTGGGTGGATGTGTTGGCGGAGCGAGTAGAAAGTGGCTCGTTGGTCTCTCGATGGTAGACGGATCAGGTGTCAGAGAAATGTTGGGCTTGGAGCTGTCGAAATTCACATAGTTATGTGTGATAAACCGAAGTTCAGCAGATGATGAAGCCATGTTTACAGAATCTCTTCCAATTAGGACAAATGGTGAGTGTTCGCCTCCAGTCGAGGCTACTGGGGGAACTGTGCAGGCACGCGTGAAGATAGGCTGCGAGTTACCGGAGAGTGCCACAGAACTAACCGGGAAAGTGCTACTCGAAGATAATTGTGGATGGAAAGGCACATTCCTATCATGTAAGTCACCTGCTGAGTCGGTGGAGTTGGTTGAAAGGTGGCGGCATCCGGGCGGATTCGAATCACTGGGGAAAGTGAAACCGTTGGGAGTTGGATTGTAGGTGGACATCCTCAAAGCGGACTAAAAATGAAGAGAGTATCAGTTAGAAAATCTTGCTAAGCATGAACAAAAGGGCTTCAACATAGGTACGGATGAAGAAAACGTGAGAAATAGCCTTTGATGGAAAAAGGTTAGTGACATGTGTTAGAGAAAATGAGTAACACTCTGTCGCCATGGTCCAAGAGTAAACCTATAGTTATTCAAATAAAATGCAACGCATCAGGTTGTGGAGTTGGGTATACAGCAGCGAGCTGAGTAACCAGGGGCATTAGCAGATGGAGTGATATAGGTAGGTGCATGTGGCTCGAATATGCCGAATCAATGTCCGGATATCTTGAAGTAAGGCCGCTTTTCCACTGCCAGTTGTGTGCCGAGGGAGCTAGATGCGGCAATACGTCAAAAGTAACAAACGGTCTTACCGCACAATGATTGCGAAAAAACTCAGAGCTCGTGAGAAGCTACAGGTCGTATGGGGCTTACTTCCGAGATCGCAATGCTCAACAAGTAAAAAGCCCATTGAATCCGTGGTAAGGGATTACCAGTGGTTCTTAATGTACGAACCGTTCAGATTTCAGTACGTTTCGACGCAAGTGCAAATAAAGGGTCTCCAGTTAGATTGGGGGATTTTTGATAGTTGTCGCTCCCAAAACCATCGATGAGTGACGACTCTCAGATGTTAGGGACAAGGATTCCGATGAAGTCAAGAGTCAACTGTGTAGTTGCCGCATTGGTTAAGCAGTTCTCAGTGATGGGAAAAATAGGTATTTGGCAAGACTTAGTGAGCTCTCACGCTCCAGCAGCAGCTGCAACAATATTATACTAGTGTTGTGATATCATGCAAGTATAGGTTAGGGAACGTGAGATTACTCAGAAGGAACAGCGTAAAACCCAAACCCACTAAGCGAACATTCAGGCGCAAGGCATTTACCCCTACTAACAATGCACGGTCACAAATGACTATTGTGCGAAGATACGGTAGCGTTGACGAGATGAGTTCCCTGCTGCTTGCGTTTCCCACCCTCATAAGCGAGCTTACCCAACAGATAACCAAGCACCAGATGAGATAAGCACCGAGTGCGATATACAGAATGCGTCGTGTGGGCTCCCGCTAGGAAGCCGATATGGGCTAACACCATCCAGACCAGTAATCAACGATTTCGCTACTCAGCGATAGTCACGATGAGACTTGTAATTAACCAAGGGTAAACAAGGCTCAAATCATGTGAACAATGAGAAAATGTATGTAAAAGGAGCCAGCGCTTACGTAACTCACTCGGTTCTATATGTTAATCTAACGAACTGATCTGGTCATATTCGTTTTAACAATTGCGTGCGCACATCGTTACCAGCAAACTTGTAGCGTCCAACACAACGAATATCGTAAGGAGAGCGATAATATGAACGCGTCAGAGATCACCAGATTAAACGAGCTAAGCCACAATACAGTAGAAGAGTACCGATCGAGTGTCGTATATACACAGGCATTCTTGCAATGAATAAGTTGAAAGTGATCTTAGCCTTTGCAATACTTGGATCGACGCACACACATTCGTCAGTACCAATGCAGCATGATAAATGAGTAGAAGAAATTATTATTCAATATATCCACATTCACGTCCTCAGAGCAAATGGAAGAAGGCAGGGTCAGTAGTACGTCGGCACACCGTAGCGACGCTTCGATACCACGCGTGGGCTGGGGACATGCCGCGACGTCACCCACATCCAAGCAGAGCAGATGTAACCATCCGAAGTTAGATCCCTTAGGGTAAAGCTGGTGTAGAGCCACCAAATCAAAGAAGGCGCCAGTTCAGCAGGAAAATCTACTTGCAGATTGGCCGGAGTAGATATCAACTATTATTTTGGCGACCGACATCTAGGTACGAGAAATTGAAAGCTCCGTGGCATGACTAGCGCTTCAGGGCAACGATGCTGGTTCAGTGGCCATTCCTATGGACACGTTTTATTGCAAACGTTTGCGGAATACAAAATTGTTTCCTAAAGAAATCGCAAAGAAATGTGAACTCACAAGAACGAAAGGAGAGAACATACCAAAAGGATAAGAGTTAAAATGCTACTGAAATCCGACCCTACTTCTGAGTATTATTGTCAGTGGACATGATTAAAGACGCAAAAGATGACGGATGACAGAGAATATCGTCGGAGAAAGCGAGTTGATACATTTCCGCACACCTGCGATACGTTCTTAACCGAAGTGGACTTTACTTTTTGAGGCTTGCTACAAATCATCCGGGAACTTAAGAACAAATAAATAAACGATGCAGGGCAATCCAGAATTGCTGTCCCGGGAAATGTGGTACGTTATATCCATTGACATTGACGAGCAGAGGAAGAAATAAGATAGAGGGGAATTGTTATTACTGGACCCCAGTGTGTGAGGTGGAAAACAGGCGCAATAAAAATGAGACAAACACTCACCTGTGTGTTCTCCATATGTCTCGAAAGGATGCTACTGCAAGATGCGCCCGGTTCGTCTACCTTAGAAACCAAAGTGGTATCACGTGAATGAGGCGGATTGGAAAATAGGGGAAGATCCATCAATCGCACAGGTGCCGAGATTGCTTGAGAGCAAAATGTTGATGCGAATGGACCCAAAGTAGCGATGTTTGGAAAGTCAGCCACTTCATGGACATCATGCGGCTCTAATTTGAGTGGGCGCGAGATAATTGGTTCCTGAGATGATACGGATCGAAATGGCAACGGAGAGTTCGTTGTAGCTAAATTTGGCCGCAGCAATGTGACGTCATGATGCTGTAGCTCCTGTCGGGAGTCCATGAGTTCTACCATCCGAACTTCACTTGTCCGAACACCGCAAGACAATGAAAAAACGTCAGGTGCAGCAGTGGACAGGTGAATAACTTGCGATGTAGAGTTGTCTGATGCAGAGAACATCAACGCCGAACTAGATATCGATCGATCCTCCGATGAAATCCCTTGTAGAGAGGCAGAAAGGCCCAAAGATATTTCGTTGGAACCACGGAACAAAGGCTCACTCTCCATGGACTCAGAAAAGTACGCTTTCGGAAAATCAGAGTCAGAGTAGTTGTCTGCACTTGGCTGGGGTGAAAGAGAGGGTGGTCGCAAACCATCTGAGATGTGGGATGACACGATCGATGGCGGCTGTAAGATCGGTAAGCAAAGAGATGCTAAACGAGCGTCGTGGTCCAATGCTTCAATGTCAGAACCATCCACTGATACGGCGTCAGTTAAATCTCCCTGAATACGCCGAGTCGACTCACTTACGAACTGGATGAGCTCACTCGGAACAATGTCTGTTTCTTCGTCGTTGTCATCAGCCGGAAGTGTGTTTGGACTACATACCGGGAACGATGCTTTATCGCTAGGTGACAGATTGTGCACTGCATACGAGCGTATTACTGAAGGACTTGAGTGATCGGATGTCATTCGACCGTGGCAACCGAAGGAACTGAAAGAACTGAGAGTGTTGCTCGCCAGCGTCGAGGGGTAATCGGTCAAGTCTAAGGCGGATGATGATGAATCATCAACGGAGTCGTCTGGATCACGTTGATTGTCTAAAGAATGAAGTGTGTCAGAATAAAGAGATCGAGAGGAGGAAACGGAGGTGAATGGATGTTTCGGAATCGGAATATCCAATGTGGAAAAAGGATCACCAGACTGACCATTGCAGCGATTGAGAGTTGCAGCCAAAATGGGTGACGGGTGCGATGGAGGAATTTCGTCAAACGTCTTATGCACCGAAGATACAACATTAGTAGCAGCAGCGGAGCTTATCTGCACAGGGGTAAAGGAAAAGCTTTCATGCTCCTCATCGAACAAGATCCCATGAGAAGAACCGCACATGCCCCCTGATCCGATGCCTGGAGGGAGCGCATGACACCCGTGGCTGGTAACAAGGCCTGTTTGAGTTGACATGATCTAAAAAAAAGAATGAAAACAATATGAAGCATGTGCAGAGCAAGCAAAAGTTTGCTTCTAATCAAGCTAGAAATGAAGAAAGAGTTAAGTTAGCAAGGGAACATTCTGACTTTCAGATGTGCCTGCATACTCGTATGCTGTGGCACATATATTCGATCCTTTGTCCCAAAAGGTCGGTGTTTCCGTCGTACAGAACGATTAATTGGATCCATTTTAAACCGATTTCCCTTAATTCTCTCGCAGTCGCTAACTGGATCTACCGTACTCATGTTGGAACCAATTTATCTAAGCGACGTAAATTAATACGGATGTTCACACTACATTACGGCGGGAATCTAAGCGAGTTTATCTAGTAGAAAGAAAATGCTGGACTGATGTGCGCCATCTACAGTTGATGGTACTGTGATCAAACTGAGTTCAAAGTAGCCTGTTGTTTAGTGGACGTCAAATAACACTGTAAAAATGCGTGCCGTATATCCGGAGATCGTGGACGGCGCGTCGCCAAAGAAAGCAGTTGGTAATGTCAATAAAACAAACATCAATGTCGAAACCGTTTCTGAGGTAATGTTTTGTATTTGATATACGGTATATCCGGATGTCCGTGTCTGCAAGACTAATAGCAACAGTAGTGCTTTAAACCGAGCGAATGATAGATTGGAGATGGCGACAGAATTTGAGTTCGGTGGTTTTCGGGTTACGATATTGGGGAGTAATTTGACACATATCTAATCGGGGGATATACTTGGAAGCGATCTAGAGGTAAGTTACGAGTTCAAAGAAGTTTGAAAACAAACGGTTGATATTCAAGGTTGGGCTCTGTGGAGTACCGGACATTTATTTAGACTGGGATACGCAATCTCTGGTGGGACCTTGGTTTACTTCTGATCGTTGGGATCGTATCCGGCGTTGGGAGCGACCAACGTCGGGTACTCTCAAAATCGGTTGGTTTATTTATTAGAGAACGTCTCACTTTTGACACCTTGAATTCACACGACACGTAGTAAATTCGCCATCGCTTAGAGGATTAACCTGTAGGAGGCAGCCGGGTAGGTATATGACCAGTTAAAGTGCGAGAAATGTCTATGATTGTCGGAACCAATGCATTATCCACGACACGTAGTCACTTAAAGGCCAAGATCTGGAAGGTTGCTGACGGAATGATAAATGAATGTGCATGATGAGAGAGATGTAACAAACATACAATTGTCAGCCGAGTCAGTCAATACACGTTAGCTGAGGTTAAGAAACACAACTCAGCTAATGTGCCGCAACACAAAAAGGATGAGATTAAAGATTACAAAAACTAAAAAAGTAACATCATTTTAAAATCACATTAGGCAGAGAGTTTGAGATCGTTGTTGGAGGGGGAAGCTAAAGAGGAGGGGAAGGACAGAGACTCACAACACAAACGCCATGGAGGTCTGCTTTTCACCATGTCGGCTAATGTATCCAACCGGACGCCTTCATCATTCTTGGGACTCCAGCCAGGCAGTCGGGAAACACAAACCGACGTCAAGGCAGAAGTAAGGGATTTCATTCCTCTAGACCAAGTCATCGCTTGACCTCCCCTCCTCTTCGTTCATTCAGACCACGGGAGTGCAAACAATGCAAAATGCGCGAGTCGGTGTGCTGGCATGCGCAACACGTGGCCCACACATCGGAGTCTGGTGCGTGCTGAGCAGTGCACTTGCTCTTCCTGCACTAGATATGAGACGCTGAACACGTTCACTGCTCCCGCGGTGCTTCCACCTGACATAAGCTAAGCTGCGAAGACAGCGATGGTTGGACGTAACTAGCCTCTTTATGTCGGCTGATTTAAAGGGCCAGGTTTCGCAACCGTACAGGAGGATTGAACGGACGACTGCATTGTAGACTCTGCCCCTCAGAGCGACAGTGATGTCACGCCGGTGCCACAGGTGACGGAGATAAGCAAAAGTAACCCAAATTTTCGCTAGATAGTTCGTGACCTCATCTTTAATCCCACGGGCGCTAATGTAGATTAATGGACGACTTCTAGATGGTCACTGCAGTGTCAGCGCATAAGTGGGCCCCTGTCAACAATGGAGAAAAGCATTACATTTCGGTGGTGCAAAGCATAGCCCGAAAGGGCTGACAGTCGTAGCTAATTTATCCAGTGCAGGTCGGCACCTTCGGGGGCTGTCACCGATGACCGCAATGTCGTCGGCATAATATAAGTCAAGAAGCCGGTCATCTGGGAGCAGCTCCACACTTTCTAAGTCGTGTCATGTGGACGCCGTTTACACGACTTCATCAATGGCGAAGTTAAAGAGGAAAGGTGACAGCGGGCGCCCGTGTTTCACACCGCTGGAAATATTGAAGGACGGCGAAAGTTTGCCATAAACCCTCACTCTGCCCGAACTATGTGCGTACAGCATTATGATAATGTTTACATATTACTTGGGCACAGATTTCCTGAGCAGACAATCCCAAAGGGCACACTGATCAACCGAACGCACATTTGAAGTCCAGAAACACGAGTACGGTAGGTCGCCAATAAACATGGCAGTGCTCCAACAACTGACGTGATGTGAAGACGTGGTCAGCTCAGCCCCGATTTTGACGAAACTCGGCCTGCCCCTCACGCATCTGGCTTCTAGGAGTGCCAGTCAGTCTACCGGGTGTTTTGGAAATGTGGTCCGGAGCTAGGAGCGACTTCACTCAGGTGCTGACATACAACCAGTACGTTGAATTGATAACTGTCCAATGGCGCAAATTGCTTTGCCGGCAGGGGTGAAGACACAGACACTACATGTGTGCCTACGAGCCGTTCGGCTGTGAGAAGTGAACATTAGCCAGACACCACAGTCGCAATGAATGCGCCATGCCTCGACCGCATGGGAACGCACGCCGTTCAGCCGTGAGAATTGGACGTGAGTCGGACACCACATAGCCACACTGAATATGTCATGTTTCGATCGATCGGTAGTCGGCCTTCACACAAGTTAAAAGGCAACGAAAGGGTTTCCGGCGAAGTGCCTAGTGAGGCACTGTGCTAGCAACTGAGAAAAACAGTCTGGCAGTATGTGATGACCGGTCGATGGGCGCCGTATTGCTAGCGCCACAAAGCTGTTATCGCCTCATGACTGGCTTCCAACAAACCCGTAAGCTTTTAGTAGGCTGCTTTCGCTGCTAAAGGGAATCATACTGCCGGGAGCACATTATAAGGTTTCGATCGCGTGTGTGTTACAAGTGAAAAGTCACCCTTCATGGGTGCATAAAAACGAATTGCTAACTTGACTTGACGTGACGATGCTCTTAGCTTTCAGTCTGCCCCGATGTACTGGTGGCATCATTAGACAGCACACCAATTTAGTAATGAATGCAACTATTGCCCTCACAGGCAGACAATTGGTAGTTGTACAAATTGATCAGGCCTTCGATGGTGTTTCTCGTGTACAGTGGAGAATAAGCATTTATTTATTTCCTTCCTTATATTTGGACGAAATGTGTGAAATGTCGGTAAATATCAATGAATTAGATGTTCGAAATGCCCACCGTGGTTTTGGCTACAGAGGAGCATTCGCAGAGTGGTGTTGCTAGTCCTTTCTACAATCTATTCAACAAAATCTGCCTATATTCGTTTACAATGTTATCTTGCAGTTCAGCCAGGTTCTTGCTTTCGTTCTATTAACTCTGTGCTTCAAGTATCCCCATAGGGAAAAAGCCATGGGGTTCAGATCCGGCGATCGCGCAAGCCATTCGATCGATTTTCCGCGACCGATCCAACGTCCACCGAATGTCTCATTCACATAGGCACGAACCGAATGCGCCGAATGTGCAGGTGCGCCATCCTGCTGCCACCAAATGTTATTCATTAACCCTTCCGACTGTAGCCGCGGAATGACGCTGCTCTGCAACATTTCCGTGCACGAGGATGCTAATAAGTATCAGACATTGGTACTGTTAAACGACAACCTACTGGACACACTGCTGGAAAAGAAAAAGCGCCACATTTCCAGTGGTTAGTCGTTGCCCAAACACGTTTGGTATCTGCGCCATGCAGATGGAACACCGCGTCATCGGTGAACAAAATGGAATGCATGTTCAAACTGTTTGAAAACAAACGGGCGAATTCCAGGCACTTCTGTAAATCGCATGCGTCCAACACTTGCACCTCCAGTGCACTGTTCCGCGCAGGAATCTTTTCCTTCACTATGCGATGCACAGCATGCGGTGTTGCAATGTTGTACGAATTGCCGAATGCCGAGATGGCTGTTACTGTATACCACTTGCGAAACCGCGGAAGCCGATACCTCATCCGTGACGGTAAAAGACCCTCCGTTTGTTTGATGTTGTAAACATCTAACTCGTTGATATTTACCGACATTTCACACATTTCATCCAAATATAAGGAAGGAAATAAATAAATGCTTATTCTCCACTGTACACGAGAAACACCATCGAAGGCCTGATCAATTTGTACAACTACCAATTGTCTGCCTGTGAGGGCAATAGTTGCATTCATTACTAAATTGGTGTGCTGTCTAATGATGCCACCAGTACATCGGGGCAGACTGAAAGCTAAGAGCATCGTCACGTCAAGTCAAGTTAGCAATTCGTTTTTATGCACCCATGAAGGGTGACTTTTCACTTGTAACACACACGCGATCGAAATCTTATAATGTGCTCCCGGCAGTATGATTCCCTTTAGCAGCGAAAGCAGCCTACTAAAAGCTTACGGGTTTGTTGGAAGCCAGTCATGAGGCGATAACAGCTTTTGTGGCGCTAGCAATACGGCGCCCATCGACCGGTCATCACATACTGCCAGACTGTTTTTCTCAGTTGCTAGCACAGTGCCCTACTAGCCATTTCGCCTGAAACACTTTCATTGGCTTTTCACCTGTGTGAAGGCCGACTACCGATCGATCGAAGCATGACATATTCAGTGCGGCTATGTGGTGTCCGGCTCATGTCCAGTTCTCATGGCTGCACGGCGTGCGTTCCCATGCGATCGAGGCATGGCGCATTCATTGCGACCG